ATCTGTGGAAGACCGGGAAGAGCTGAGGCTGTTGCATGTGATTTCCTTGACCTCTTCTGGTCCCCTTGGCCCCCAAAGTGCTGCTGTTTCTACTGCTCACCCTTTGTCTCATGCTTTGGGGCTGAGGAAACACCAGATATTGTGACATATTGACATATCAAAAATGTTATTGTGACCTAGGTTAGGAAGCAGTGTTGTGGCTTAGTTAGCACAGAGAGGAACTCTATGTCACCTGTGACGCCTTCCCCTGTTCCTTGGCTGTCAAGTCCCTACAGTCACCAGCTCATTTAAGCCCACGTTCTCTCTCCCCTCCATCACTTGGCCGATGATGGAACCATCTGACCAACTGTGGTTACCCACAGACCCACCGGCCTCCCACCAACCTGGAAGCTTCTGAAGGTGGACAGCTATCTTGGTCTAGGAATGAGCATTCTGGCTTAATAAAAATCTCCAAAGACCCCGTCACAGCAGCTGCTGAGCACTGCCTGTCTGCAAGCCCCTTTCCAACCACCCGAGAGGGGGGCTGGGGATTTAGCTCAGCGGCAAAGCGCCTGCCTGGCAAACGCAAGGTCGTGAGTTTGGTTCACGGTACCAGAGAAAAACCAAAAAACCAAAAAAAAAAAAAAAAAACAAGTTCACCAACCACCCGAGAGGTATGACAGGAATGTAGATGATAGGCTCCTACCTTTAAATTTCAAAGACAGGGGAAAAGCAATGTACAAAATTTAATGAAAATAAATGGCACATTAGTAACATGATTGTTACTAATGTGCCATTTATAAAATCCTACAAAAATCATGAAATGAAAAGGCAGTGTGGCAGCTCTAAGGTGATCAAATGCTGATCAACAAAGTATGTGGGGCTATCTGGGCTGAACTACCCGGGGTAACTTTGCAAGGGCTCCGTGTGTGTGTGTGTGTGTGTGTGTGTGTGTGCATGCGCGCGTGCGCACGCGTGTCAGTGCGCCCATGCATGTACATAAGTTACCCCCAGAATACTGACCAAATTTGAGAATCATTATTTACACTGACTTTTCCCCCAATCTGATGTCTGTTCAAATTATGGTGATTAAGAAGAGTCTGCTCTTAGCTCATTACAACAACAAAACAGCAATAATAACATGGAGAGTCAGACTTTGAAAAAAGCATGGTTGGTTAGTCACAAGTCACTTTGATAAAATGAGAGCCAAAGTCACTTAACAAATTCTATCGAGGCTCTTAGGTCTATTTACTTGGAAACTTTCCCGAAAGCTGAGGCGACTGTAGGGTCCAGGTGCTTTCTATTCACCCCTGCCCTTCCAGCCCTAGGGAGGAAGCCATGAGGGGTGTACCTGGGGCTCGTGTGTTCACTGGGGCTCAGCCGCTAGGAGGCTGAGAGGAAGGTGGAAGATGCAGGAGATGGAGGCAGCAGTAGTTCTTCCTGTGCTCTGGATTTTCCGGCAAAAGCAGCAGGTGCCTCTGAAACTACAACCCCTGATGTCCGTTTTTCCCTCTGCAGCTCCAGCTGCTGCTGCTGGGGTAGAAACTGCTTCCTACTGTTGCTGATCTCTGTGCCTCACACCTGCTCACGGCCCTGCAAGTAGTCCCTTCATTTAAGTCTCTTGAGCCACCTGAGTTGGATTCTGTTTCCTGCAACGATCACTGCTACTAAGTCTATAAGAAATCCTCTACTGTGTCAGCTTGAGAGATACTAATGTCCTAATTTGTGAATTAGTGATTATATTAACTAGGTTAATGCTGGTTATTTCCTTGGTATGCTTAGAACATGACTAAATTTACAAACTAATGGGTTGGAATTTATACTCCCAAGTTTTATTGCCTTCTCAAAGTTGGTAAGATAGTATCTTTTAATGCCAACATACTAAAATGTTCTGAGGCTGCCTTTGCAGATTTCCCTTAGTGGCCATAACACATTATTTTGAGTAATGCTGGAAATGGTCTTTTAATGGCACATTTGATTCAGTTGAACAGGCACTATCACAGTACATATAAGAAAATTGGTAATAATTTCATTATGTGTATGTGTTAGTCAACTTTGACAAATTACCTGAGATAAACAATTCACAGAGCAAAGGTTCATTTAGGCACATAGTTTCAAAGATTTAGTCCAGTCAGCTCTCTCCATTGTTTTTTGGGCCTGTTGCAAGGTGGAAGATGATGGTGGGGAACACATGGTGAAGCAGATCTGGGAAGCAAAGAGGAGGAAGGGATCAGGGTCCTAATATCCCTTCCTAGAACACACCCCAGTGATCTCATTTTCTTCTGTTAGGCCCCACCCCTTAAAGGATTGACCACCTTCCAGTAGCAGCAGAGGTTGGTTACTCTATAACACACAGCCTTTGGAAGACATTCAAGATACGAACTGCAGCATTCTGTTCTGGCCTCCAAAAGCTCATACCTATCCTAGAACACAAAATGCATCCAGTCCACCTCCAATGGTCCTCCAAATCTTAACTTTTTCTACATTGCTCAAAAATTCAAGTCCAAAGTCTCCTTTGAGACTTGAAGCAAATTCTTAGCTATAAATCCCTGTAAAAAAAAAACTTTTTTTAAAAAAAAATAGTTCCAAAATACAATGGCACAGGGTAAACATTCTCATCCCTAAAGGGAGAAAAAAGAAAATAGTAAGGAAGAATCAGACAAGCAGGGGAGACATTAAATCCCATACCTCCATGTCCAGCCTCCAGGGAATACGGTGGCTTGATGTGAGCTCCACAGGGACTGGGCAGCCCTGCCTGCCTGGCCTTGCTCACTCCAGCCTAGCTACCCTCTCTCTTGAGCTGGCTCTGCTCACTGCCTGCAGCTTTCCTTGACAAGTGTTCCATGTTCCTAGTATCTCTAACTTCCTAGGGTCTCTACTGCAGTTTTGGCTTCACTGTTACAACTTTACATATCCTGTTCTCAGGGACTGCTTGCAGGGACATTGTTTGGGCCGCATACTTCCTGGACTCCCAGGTTTTCTTTGAAATGTTAATGAAGCCTCTATGACCCCACAGAGCTTGCATTCTACATACCTGCAAAACCAACTTCATAGATGGGAATGGTGGCACCCACCTAAAATCTCAGTATTCTGGGAGGCTGAGGCAGGAGAATCATGAATTTGAGGCCAGCTTGAGCAATTTAGTGAGTGAGGCCTTGTCTCAAAAATATAAAACAGAAGATTACTTTGGGATGTAGTTTAATGTGAAAGTTACCATGGTACCATGACTGGGAAAAACAACATCATAAGGATAAAGCCAAGTCTGCCATTAGCTTGAGCTGTAGGTAGTTGTACCAAGGCTACAATGGCCTCTTCACATCTGGATGACTGAACACAAGGAACCAGGTCACAAGGAAACTGTTCCCTAGAGAGTCCTGTGCTGAGCCCTGGGTGACCCAAAGCTCTCAAACAAAACCCTTTGAGCTTGAGATGGGTGAAGTCTTGTTGATTCCTGAGATGCCCTCAAGGCGTCTTTCCCATTGTCCTGACACAGAATACTTGGTTTCTTTTTATTGGCAGTGATCTCTTTAGCAACTTCACCCTCCTTGATCACAAGGTTCTCCTTTTCTGGCCAATCTGTAAGTTTTTCAAATCTTTCCATTCTGCTTTTGCTCTCGATTCTTACTGTAAATCTGGTTAAATGTAGTAATAACCATCCTGCTACATGAATGCTGCTCTGCCTTGAAATCTTCTCCACCAGATTAGTCTATCACTTTTCCATTCAATTTCTTTGCCTCTGATACAGTTCCTAATAGCATCTTCATTCCTCTCTGAAACAGTCTTTACTGTCTACACTCCTATTAGCATTCTGGTTTTTTTAAACCTTTCCCAGAATTGCCCATTTAGCTTTATCTACAGCACTCTGGGAGTTTCTCTAGCCTGCTTCTCCAAGCTTTTCCAAACACCTCCCACAAATTATTTCCAAAGGATTCTGAACCACACTGTCAGATATAACTTATAGTCATAGCAACAACGCTATTTTTTAGTACCAATTTTCTGAGTTATCTTTTTATTGCTGTGACAACGTATATGAGATACAGAGTGAAAAAATGTATTTAGGCTCACAGTTTCAGAGGTTTCAGTTCATGGTCATTTTGCTTTTGGGCCTGTGGCAATGCAGAACATCATGGTACAGACTGCATTGTGAAGCACAGGTGTCAACACCTCATGGTGGCAAGAAGGCAAAGAGAAAGGTGAAGATGCTAGCATCCCAGTATCCTCCTCAAGGACACACACCCGACACCTAACTTCTTTCTGCTAAGTCTGACCCCCTTAAAGGTTCTACCACCTTTCAACAGTCCATAGGCTGTGCTCACTTCGGTAGCACATATACTAAAACCGTCCATGGGCTGTAACACATGGTCTTTGGGTGATATTTAAGATCTAAACTATAGAAGGCTAAATGCAAATTTCACTAATTCTCTACAAAATGTTTTCTATAACTTGTTTTAAGCTGGGGTTTAATCAAGGTTCATGGATTGCTTTTAGGTTCATCTTGAAATATCCTTAGAGATGCAGAGATGTGACTTTATGTGTGTAACTCTGAAATCTAGCACGTTATGTAACATAAATATACCAACAGAATCAAATGGAACTTTAGTGAGTGCTAAGAGTACTTTGCAAAGGACACAACTTAGGTATGGGAGGAGACTAGCTAGTTGTTTGTAAGGGCCATTAAAATTGGTACAAGTAATCAGCATTTTCCTGTTTCAAGTTAGGACATACTGAGAAAGTAATGATATTTCCACAGCATGACAAGGTAAAAACAAGGGGCTCTTTGGGACTGGCCCTATTCTGAGTGCTGGGACACCTTTGTTTTTAGTGTGACCGGGAAATGTTGGGACCATATTATGGCAACTCTACACTTTCCCAGTTTGTGCCTGAGGGTATTCTTATCTCCAATACTTACCAGTTTAGGTAACCTGATGTTTCTTCCTGGAAAGAACTAAGGCTAGAGCTTTGCTCTGTCTTCTTCCATCAACCATAAATACCCATAACACAGAAAAACAAAGACAAGGTAGTCTTTTTCCATGTTATTTATTCATAGTCAATTAGCAATAGCTACATAAGGGGGTCAAACAAATTAACAGGAGTGTTTGGGAAGCCATGGGAGGGCCATGGGAGGGATGATGGAATTTAGACAGAAAATAATTTTACAAAGTGTTAAATGAAAGACTTACAAATTTTTTTTTTAAAAGTATTCTCTGAGGGTAACAGAAGATAAAAATCATCATGAATAAAATAAATGAATCACTTCTGATTGTTACATTACCAAAACCGAAGTCTGCAAAAATGTTTTGCATTTCAGACTGTCATGATTTTCAGATACTGGAGGGACGTAGATTTCCAACACAGAAAGACTAACAGGGAGTAACAGATTCACACAATGCAGAAGAAAATAAAGAACATGAAAATAGCTTGTCATCCGCTAGCAAAAATAGATGTTAATATCAAAATTAAAGACGTTCAAATAAATTATGCCAAAATACTGTAGCTATTATTCTTAAGATAATAAGAACAACTTCTTATTGCTCCTACTCATAACTGAAAAGTCTGAGGAAATTCTACAATCACTGGAAGCCATAATATAATATGTAATACATGTAGTAGACCTACACCAAAGCACAACAGCCAAATAAACACTTTCATGTTTTTCTTTCAGGGATGACATCTTTAGTAGTAAAATAAGATTACTCATCAAAAACCTGGATAATACAGACGGAGGACAGTGCCCAAAGCCCAAGAATTTGATTTATTGGAATTAATAATTAAAAGTAGGATATGCAAAAAGCAGCAGTCCAAATGAAGTAAACATTTTTTTAAAAAATCAGTTTGTGTATTTTTCTCCTTTGGAGAGTCCCTCAGGAAGCAAATAAAGGTGTGTGTGTGTGGAGGTGGTAGGGGTGCTGGGACATTGTGGGTACTTGGTAGATAAGTATGCTATTGTCCTAAAGTGAGCCCCATCTGTTTAGTTAGCATCAGAACCCACCTCACTTCCAGGAGGTGAACTGTAGGTGGAAGTTGCACTGAGGCTTTTATTATTATCTGTGACTCAGGGAAACACCTACCTTAGGGTGTTTTAGGTCTGAGGAGGGAACCCACTTGTTCCTATGCTACACTGGAGATGTGAGACATTTTTTTCTGTAGTTCGGGACAGTCAACAGGAGAACAGTCGATGTGTACTATGGATGCCTGCACAAGGTTCCATTTCAAGAATATGTGATTTACTACAGATTTGGGATGGAATAGTTAGGATTAAAACAGAGGTTAAAACGTGTTTCTACAATGGTGTGGTGACTGGCATTATTGAATAGAGAGATTCAGAGTCCAGAAAATTAAATTCTACCTTAATTTTCACAAAAAGTATCAAGTTTCTGTTTTCTTTATTTTAAAAATATAAAAGCTCAAGACATATAGGTTTGGTAGAAAGGAACTTTTGTGCGAAGGAACTGAAAGAAAAAAGCCATGTCCTCCTCAAGGAAGTTTTAAGATTCAAATAACATGATGCATTAGAAAAGCCCTTCATAAAGATGCTAGTACTAACAACTAGTGGTTTCAAAATTTGCATATAGTTTTGTACCTAATTGTACTCATTTCCACCCTGAATGCAAGTTAGATGACCACAGAAGTGATATTTGGCCCAGTTATCTTTGTGATTCCAAAAGAAATCATAAAATTAATAGAAATAATAGCATTAGGACAATTAAAGAATTTCTAAATAGTGCATGATAAAGCTACCTTCCTTCAGGCTGTATGTTTTATTTTTCCTCTCTTTTTCTTTCTGAGTCAGGTTCTGAAGTGGGCCTATTTAAGAGCCAATGTCACTAAATTTCTACATTTATTCTTACACTGTGAAAACTAGATTTGTTTTCCCCCTGAGTACCCTTAAATTTACAGTGTGCTTCCTCATGTCTGTGAGCTGAATTCAGATAAATGCTCGAAAAGAAAAGAACAAAGCACACACCAAAGAACTGGATGGTGTCATTCAACTGCTTAGAAATGGAAATGATACCCACATTGGGTTCATTTTGACATCTCCATAAAATGGAACAAAAGAATCCAATATTTAATGAGTTGTTTTAAAATGCCAGCCACTTATAGACTCTAAAGGGGTACTGATCCACTTTAAAACTTTAACTTTCCACTTTAAATAACTTTCCACTTTAAACATGCAATGCTATCCAGCTGGTTATTTGGTGTGACACTGAAAAATCATGCATCCTTTTTCTGTTATTTATTTTCCTCTTCATTCATAGCATTCTACATCTCTGAAATTCTTTAACTATGTAAAAATGTTTTGCAGAGAAATTTCTTTACCACATCAACACAGCCGGTATTTTCATGGGCTTTTGAGTAAAAGGCTTCACAATTAGGCTTTGGTTTTAATGTAATCTGGGCAGAAGCTGGAAATGCTTTGAGAATACATTTCAACGACTGCACGAATTATATTCTTGTAATTTGAAATAACACACTTTACAAAGTTTCCCCTTTCAGTAGTATAATCTATTGAGACTGCTGCAGAATTCACAGTGACATAAATACGAAGGAAGTGTAGGAAAGGGATAAGACATTTAAAGCTTTATCAGAAGACAACACAAAAGAAGCATATCAACTCCACATTTGTCTATAAGGCAGATGGTCAAACTTTTTATACAAGATCTAAAATATGGTGCTTATTAAGAGGTAGAAAATACCAGAACAGTATTTAAGAAAAACATGTTGAGTTAGTTAAAACAATCGGTTATTTTCCTAAACTTTTAGAAAGTCCAACTATTGTGTGGAATGCACTGTATATTCTATAGTAACCTGGGACATTCCATATTCCACAGCCATGTGGCCAAACAGGATGGTTCACAAAGCTAGGGATGGGGTGGGGTGGGAAGGAGGAAATAATTTCTTCGTTTGTCAAGGATTTAGCTCTCAGTAAGGAACAATTTCCTACCATCTCTCAGGATGCCATTAGGACATTAAATCAATGGGGATTTCTCTGGTTGATGACAACCAGAGGGTATAATTTTGCATATAAGGCAACAGAACTACAGGGAGAGACAAGCGCAAATGCTTCCCCTTCCAGAAGGTGCCGCATCCGTCTTATATAAAAACATACATTCTATCTTCTGCCATCCCCTTCATCACTAAAATGCAAATGGAAATATTCTTCAGACTCCAGCACCAGCAGAATTGTTCTGTATGAGCAATTCAAGAGCTGTCTGAGGCAAAAAGATGTCTCAGCTACCAAATTAAACTTGGTAGCTTCCAAGTGTGTGAGTAACTCTGGGTGTTCTTATTCCTTAATGCACCTGGGAGAGGTTGATTTTTTTTCCTCCAACATAATTTTATAAGGCATGAATTTAATTTGAATTTTCCCTAACCTTTGGGAAATTAGTGTTAAAGCTTCTTCTTTAATCCACACATTAACATTCAATCTTTCATTTTTATTAAACAGTTTATATATAAAAAGAAATACCAAGGTGTTCCACATTCATATAAACAGTCATGATAACATTTGAAATTGCAAAGAAACCCACCGAAGAAAATATATACTTCAATACTTACAACGTTAAGCTAAGCACAAGTGATTACTCTGGGTAATATCTTTTACATATACAGACACAGTTGTGCTGCTTCCAGAAGCAAACATGGGAGAAGTACACGACAGTACCCTTCTTTGCTTTTCACCACAAGACAGGATGTTCCAATTTGGAAAAACCAAAATCTTTTCTAAGTTCCAAGTAGGTGCTGTTGCTCACCCAAGAGTCATCACTGGATTTCCTGTGAAAGATGAAACAGTTCCTTGCACACTCTTTAAAACACTGCCAAATCCTCCCTCTCCTTCCTTCTTTCTTCTCTCTTCCCCACCAGCTGTATCACAGACACTGACTCTCCTGATGGTCCCACCTTGAAACCGGATGGAGACTGGAACCCTGGAGCCATTTTGTTATTTCTGCATTAATTTCCCAAACCTGGAGGCTGTGAAAAGTGGTGCTTCTGAGGGGACAAATGAAGGGATATTTTGTTTCATAGAAAACGTGGCTGGATGACAGTCGCCCCTTGGGGAATAACTGTAAAAGCGACCCTTCAACTAGATTGTTCATGGAAGTCATAAGTTTACATTAACAAAAAAAGAATCAGAAGAATTGAAGAGTATAGTCCTGGCTTACTATTTTTTTTAAATAGTATAATACATAGATCAAATTTCTAAAAGCATAAAAGGGATAAAAGCTAAAAGTTTTCTTCCTAGCCCTATCTCCCAGCCTCTGGGTTCTTCTCCTACAGATAGTGATGCTACAGTCTACACTTTTTTCAGAAAGAATCCATGTATGTGTACCCATGCATGCCTATCCATCTACACTGCACCCTCTCCCATTTTAGGCAATGGTAGTCCTAGACAGTGGTCCACCCCTGAATATCTGATGTAACAAATATACTGGTGATACTTTCCCATCAGCACGACCAGCAGGGACCAGCAAACTATAGCCCAAAGGTCAAACCCACCATTCTGCCTATCTTTGAAATACTGTTTAATGGAACTCCGCCGTGCCCATTTGTTTAAACACCCTCTATTGCTGCTTTTTTGCTAAACAGCTGAGTTAATTGCTACTGACACCTTATGGCTGCAAAATCAACAAGATTTATCATTCATGTTTTATAGGAAAATCTTGATGACTCCAGAAATAGAGGATTCCTCATTTTCTGTTTAAATAACTGCATGACATTCTAATGTATGGATAGGCCACAATGTATTTAAGAGGCACCCTAGAGATGGCCACTTAGATTGTTTATCCACTCTAGGTATTACAAATAAAGCATATGTCATTTTTTATGTAAGTATAGTTACATTAAAAATTCGTACAGTTAGCTCTGCTGGGTCAAAGAGGGCTTCTATTTGTAATTTTATCTGATATTTCCATAAGTTTAAGGAGGAAAAACAGAGAGTACTGGTTTTCCCACATTTTTAGGAATGTGGATTTTTGTCCCACACTTATCTCCCTATTCAAATAAAGGGACTTGTAAGGCTGAGTTGGCCTGAGATGTGGTCTCCAGTTGAAACTTCCAACAGGATTTTTGCTAATCTTCAAGAAACACTAACAGTAACGCCCGGGTCCCTACCTTCCCTTCTGATAGCACTCCGCAGTGTTTCTAATTTGAACACTCCCAGGCAGCACTGCTACTGCTGAACAACTCTCACGTTTCCTCCGCTGTTTAAAAAAGTTCACCTTCCAGTCGAAAGCAAAAAAGAACAATGGCCACTGCAACCGCCTCAGTTATCAGTCCTTTTCCACTCCAGGTATCATTCTTAGAGGTCCGCAGTGACAGTGCACATAACAGTCCATATTTTGCGTTTCAATGTTAATTCATTTCCCATGTTGTCCTACAGTCTGTAGGTCACTCTTCAAGCTTTCATGTTAGACGGAGGATAAACCTCCTTATCTGGTCCTTGAGACAGTTTGATTACCTGCAATTTTTAATGATCCTAAAATACACCGTAATGTACATCTGTATAAGTATGGATTTTCCTCTTCTTTAAAGAAATGAAACTATATGATTTATGAAAGAAAGAAAAAGAACCAATCTACTTAAGTGTATATGTATCTTGCCCGCTAGTCAGTAAATCAATAGGTCAGGCTGTGAATCCATCCATTTTTCCATCCTTTGCTTTTTTCAATAAATTTTCAAGTGTCTACCTTATTTTCCAAATGTTTAAATAAAGTTATGAATATTGCAGAATGAAGCCCTGGTGAGTTGACTCTCAAATACTAAAATCCTGAGTTTGAGGAAATGATCAGAAAGGACCTGGTAGAATCTGTACCACCCTTCAGGAAAAGAGCATTATATTTTAAAGATAAAATATGACTGGTTGCTATTTTGATGTTTTGAAATACATATTTTATTGCTGTTGCTGACAGATTAGTAGCTAACTCTTTCTAAACATCACTTCTGTTGTCTGTTAAACAGAAACAGAAAGTAAAAACAAAATACTGACCTCCCAGAGGCCCAGAGAGCAGCGCTGGGTGGAAAACAGAGTGCAGAAACCTACCTCTCCTCTTCACATGTTTTAACTTTGATTTTTTTTTTGTTTAATCTTTTTTCTTTGAGACAGGGTTTTGCGTGTAGTTCAGGCTGCCCTTGAATGCACTGTGTAGCCCAAGCTGGCCTCGAACTCCTGGTGATCCTGGGATTACAGGTGTGCGCCACCATGCCCCGCTACTCTGATTTTTGTTTTTAAAGAACAAATAATCTAAAACCATCTAGAGCCCTAACCTCCTAGTCAGGAGAGTGAGGCCTAATCTGGAACATTCCACAGAGCCCCTCATCAAATCACCTCCATTCCCTGAACCTTTGTTTTTTCCAGTTTAAAAATTTTAAAAATTTGTCTATTTTAAGAAAGAACCTCTTAGTGGATTTGATTTGTTTTCTTTTATTGAGACAAGGCCTTGATATGTAGTTCACACTGGCCTCGAACTCACGGAGATGCTCCTGCCTCAGTCTCCCAAGTACTGGGATTACAGGTATGTGCCACCATACCCAGTTAGCAGGTTATTTTTAAATTAATAGTAAATGTTCCAAATCCAAGGGTATTGGTACTGCTATTCAAGAGTTGCTGGGGATTTAGGTCAGTGGCAGAGCGCCTGTTTGGCAAGAGTGAGGTCCTGAGTTCGATTCCTGGTACCAGAAAAAGTCAATATATTCAGAGTTAAACTACTTGGAATCCCATTTTGGTAACCAGTGGGATGATGGTTAATTATCTCTGTCACTGCATAAAATACAACAAATCTAAAATAAGCAATATGGTATCCATGTGGGTGGCCAACCTTAGGCAGATGTGATGTGATCAGCTGGCCTGATGTGGAGGCACAGTATGTACTGAGACCCCCCTCCGCAAAGGCACTGCAGGGCCTCGGAAAAAGAGTAAAGGGTGGGCATGGAAGGCGCTCATTTCACCGGAGGACGGGGAGAGCCACGGAGGTTGACAGGGCACAGGGGAGGGCATTGTCCTTCTGGAGCAGGGACCCCTGCAGAAGCTGGTCTTGGGGGAGGGACACTCTTCTTCTCTTTCACTGGACCAGCACCACAGAACGCAGGCAGCCCTCTCAGCCCAGGACCCCACGATGGATCCAGCCACGCACCTGAAAAACCGCGGCTGGTGCTCCATGTTATTTTCTTCTAAGACCCGCCGCCTTTCTCTCTGCTGCTGCTCAATCCTCTGCTTCTGTGCCTCAGCTTCCTCTATGTTCCCTTCTTCCAGAAACCTGGGTCATTGACGGAAGACGCGAAGAAATATCATTTCCAAGAAAACAAAACAATCAGTACTACTAAACTTGCATGTGTCCAAAACTGGATATTCAAAATATTACTTGATTTCTCTTCTATACCTGTGACCCCTCTCCTAACCCTGAAACAGTGTTTTGAGGTAAAGAGGGAAGAGACTATTTTATGAATTGGTGATATTTACATGGTTCAAAAAATGTATCTATGAGAAGGAAATTGGGACGAAGTTTCCCCCTCTTTCTTGTCTACAATTTCACCTGTCACTATCCCATTCTACCCCCTCCCCCTCCTACCACAGGCAAACCCCTGTTATCAGTTTCTTGTGTATTTTTCCAGAGATTCTTTTGCATATTTCTGCAAATATATATTCATATCCCTTCATCCACTTAAAAACATAAATGGTAGCATACTGTAGATACTATTTATCTACCTTGATTTTTTGTTTGGTCTTACTTTTTATTTAAAAACAGGCTCTCTTCCCTTCCCCCTCCCCCACTCCTTCTTTTTCTTTTCCTTTGATTTTTTTTGCTTTGTTTTTTGAGACAGGGTCTTGTTATGTAGCCCAGGCTGGCCTCGAACTCATAGCGATCCTCCTGCCTCATCCTCCTGAGTACTGGGATTACAGGCATGTTCCACCAGGCAGAGTTTGAAGATTTTTCCATGGTAGTACATAAACATCTTCATTTTCAATAGCTATATAATATTCAGTTACAGGATTATACTTTAATTAATTTAAATAATTCCTACTGATAAATATTTGGGTTATTCCTAGTGCTTAATGTAACAGCACTGCAGCTAATGGCTTTGCATATGTATTACATCTGGAAAAGTACATCTGAAGAAGCAATCCTAGAAGTGCGATGGCGGGGCTAAAGAATGAGTCTGCAGTTTGTATATCACAAACTACTCTTTATCTGGGTTACAGCAATTTTCATCCCTATCAGCATGAACACCTTCCCCACTTGCCTCAAAGTATATCAGAAATGTATTTTCACATAGTTTTAAAATTTATCGTTTTTCATGTTACAAGCAAGACTGAACTTGTTCATATGTTTAAGAGATACCTGTGCTCCCTCCTTTGCGACTGTTCATTTTCCCATGTCCCTGTTTTCTAATGGGTTCATCTATTACCTGATTTCTAGCACTCATTCATGATATGAGTCATGAGCACAGACTGTGTCTCATTTATCTTTTGATCTTGGTTACACATTTTTATTTGCTTTGCCACTAAAGTCTTTATTTTTTTAAAATAAAGCCAAATGTGGACATCTTTTTTTCTTTTGGCTTCTGGATTTTGAGTCTTAATTAGAAAGGCTCAAGAGGAGAGAGTATTATCTCCATCTTATAGAGTAGGAAACTTAGATTTAAAAATTTATTATAAACCACCCAGCTTATTAGCAGCAAACCTAGTATCAGAAGTTAGATTTTAATGCACCAAGATAATTTAAATTTGAGGGGTCATAGGAGCTAGATGCTTTGTATTTTTTCAAATACACAGTAAGGTTTTTATTATTGTTTATAGTTTAACTCCTTGAAACAAAAACTATTTTAGGGAGGATATTTCAGTAGAAATGGGGCTTTACTAATAAAGGCCTTCCAACATAAGGAAGGCAGCTGGCCTCCATTTCCTCCGTGACGTGATTATTTAAAGTTCCCTTACACCTCTGCACTACTGATGACATTACTCACCTCTCTGACTCCTCTGATGGCCTGGGAGTTATTTAATAAGGTTTTTTGTGAAAAAAAAAAAAAAAAATTATGTCTCTGGAAAAAAGATCTTTAAAAAACGCTTACCTTTGGTCTGGTCTAAATCGAGTGTCAGTAGGTGGTAATAAAGACTTTGACAATGGGTCCATTTCATTTAACTCTAATGCAAACTGTGTGAAGCCATAATATTGCTCGTAGCCTTTTGGCATGGGATCTGAAAGAAAAATAAATCATCCATCCCTCATTTGTCTTTCATTGAGGTTGCATTTTAATTCTTTCAGCTTTTTCATCTCAGAATGGCTACAGTTTTTTTTTTCTCTCAGCTCTAAAGTGTTCCATTTTTATTAAAATATTCTAACAAATAGGTGCTGAATATTTATAAATTTTCTTCTCTATGTTTTCTTCTGTCTAAAGAGATACAACCTCCTTTGTTAGTCCTATAGCAAATTTATACAATTTACACAATGCTGTGAGTTTCTGTACTGTTTGAGCTATAAAATAACTTACTATTAAAATAAATATACCAAAAGAACACTGGGTTTATTTGTCCTGACCAAGACACCCACTCTAGAGAATCCATTTTTTATCTAAGTGATGTCCAACTCTTCCGAAATTAAATAGTGCTGTAAATAGTAAGTGGTCAACAGACGTTATTCTTTTCCTCCATCCCCGCTTTCCTTTTCACAGTACTGTTCCCTACAGTCTTACATCCTTAACTTTAAAACACTCATGTGTACTGCCCTAACTTAAATTCCACTAAAAATAGGGCTAAAAACATCCGAGTCTACATATCAGGTTAACAAATGTGAACTACTAAAACCAACCCTCACCCTCAGCTCTTGTTCTTCACATACAAATATAAATGCTTCCCATGAAATTTCCTGCACACTTTTTCTTTTTACATCTACTTTCTAAAGCTTGAGAAGTCCTCCCCGTCACTAGTCTAACAATCCTTATAGCTTAAACATGAAAGTAATACCAAAGCTTCCCACTAGGTTTTCCACTGCAGTGCCCTAACCACCAGAGTGAAAAGAGCAGTTTTTTTTAAGGATGGGGAATCTTCAAGGGATGCTCACAGAAAATGCAGAAACATAATGTCAAGGAGTAACAACGCCCACGATTTCAATAGTGTTCCCTTGTCAAGGTCTATAACATTCAGGGAGCACGGTGGCGCCCATTGGTGAAACATACTTTAAACGAAGGAGAGACTGTCCCACTTGCAAGATCTCGTGCCCGCCTCTGAAGTGGGAAGGCAACCACAGGGACAATTTATTCTGGCTTCCCGGCAACCTTGGTGATGGTGGAAGGTGTGGCTGCCACCCACTGAAGGAGACAGGGGCCGCCGCCTGCTCTTCATTCACTTCTCCTCCTTGCTAAGGGAATATTGATTCTGTTCAGGGAGCACGCGCTTTCCCAAGGGGTGACCCTATGTCCATCAGAATCCCTCCTGCCCACTCTGTTGCTCATGACTGGTTCAAGAAACAGGTTTGCATCCACTGCAGTCTGATGTGGTATAAAGATGTATTTGCTAGGGGATCCTGAGAGACACTGCATTGCTGAGAAACGGGAGGCACATGAGAAGCACACGCTTTGTCCTCTCTCCCTCCCTGTTTGGTATGCAGCAGAGCGGGGATATCACACTGAGCCATGGCGACCACTTTATAACCACTGGGCACACTGGGAGTGGCAGAATATGCCCTCAGTGGTTTGGGTTGTGACACCGGTAAGGTGCCAGGGTACCTACCTGGGGCCACCAACCCTCACGGACTGCCAAGCAGCGGTAGACATCCTCATGGCTTAAGACACTAATAGAGTAGCTTTTCTTTGTTTGGTTTCTATCAATCCAAAGCATCCTAGCAGCTGTGTCTCAGACCAGTGGTTTTACAACGTGATCCTGACTTGGACACAGCTACGGTGATAAAATGTGTAGGGACATGCCACAGAACATTGGGCTGGCCTGGCCCTTCTCCCCACAGCTGCTTGAAGGACTCGGTGTCCTGGAATCACAGAGATCAGGGTGGTCTATGGGGCTCTGAATCCAGAGACTCCTCACTCTTTGTGGAACCCTAAGTCACTAGTTTTTTCCAGTTAACACTTTTCTCTTGGTCCTTACGACTTCCTACACCTCACTGACTTCAGAGAGCCCCAGACAGTCCCAGGTGTGGACTCAGTATCTTCTACACTCCCCAACGACTTGTGTTCTGGGGTTAAGAACCCGGGACCTGGCAGCCTACGACGAGGGCTGCTGAGACAGCTGGCCGAATGAGAGAAGGGCCCATACCTCTAACCTTGTTCAAAGCAGGAGGAGGTTAGGGACTCTGAACAGAGCTGATCCGCGCCCTGACAGCCTCCCCTGGCCTCGCCCAGCCGCGACGCCTGAGGCCCCTGCGGCTGGAAACTCACTTGCTCTCCAGATGCACGTGGACGAGGAGGCGCCGCCGCTGCAGTAGATGCTCTCGTGCCACTTCCCAAACAGCCGGTACACCGCCTGTCCGCTGCGGTCGAACACTGTGCCTTCGATCTCGTGGGCATTGGTGCTCCAGTACTTTGCCTAGGATGCAAAGGGAGTTATGGCGTACTGCGGCTCCCGCTTCTGAGAGACAGTAAGTAAACAAAGAGTGAAGCAAGAGAAAGAATAGTAAGAGTGCCTGCATGCTATCTATCATTTGCCAGTTCTGGATTCTGTACGCTTTTTAGTTGACAAAAAAAAAACAAACACCCTTGTATATATTTATCCTCTACAACACAATGTTTTGAAATATGTATACATTGTGGGCGGGCTGGCTAAAAAAAACTAATTAACGTATGTTTTACCACATCTATTTTGGTAAGAACCCTTAAAAACTGTTCTCTGATCCCTGTTAAGTATATGATATAGTTACTAAGGATATTCTCCATGTTGTTTAATAGTTCGCTTGACCATATTCCTCTGCTCTAGCTGTAATTTTGTACCCTTTGACAGCATTTCTCTGACCCATAGCCCCACACCCAGTAACTTCCATTCTACTGCTTTTATTATTTGTTTCAAAACATTTTTATTAGTACATGTTTGTAGTACATAATAATTATATTCATTATGGGAATTAGTACATGTACATAGCACATCTTAATTATTTATTTTCCATTTTCCTCCCCTGCCTCTCCCCTCCCTCCATCTCCTGACTCTCTGCTTCTATGACTTCAACTTTCTAAGGTTGCACATATGGAAAAACCACGAAATATTTGTTTTTCTGTGCTTGGCTCATTTCACATAATGTAACGTCAGCCGGATTCATCCATACTGTTACAAATGAATTTCCTTCTTCTTTATACTTGAACAGTAGGTCACTATGTGTCCATCTCATATTTTCTTTATCTGCTCATTTACTGATGGACACTGAGGCTGATTCTTTATGTTGGCTATTGTGAATAACACTGCAATGAACATGGTAGTGCAGGTTTCGCCATACTGATTTGATTTCCTTTGACTACATACCCAGCAGTGGGGTTGCGAGGTCCCGTGGTAGTTCATATTGTAACTGTATGAGGAACCTCCATTCTATTTCTGCTGATAGCTGTACTAATTTACATTCCCACCAATAGCATGCAAAAGTTCTCATTTTTCCACGCCCTTGCCAACATTTATCTTTCATCTTTTTTATAACAGCCATTCTGAGAGGTGTAAGATGATTCACCATTGAGATTTTAATTTGCATTTCCCTGACAGTGATCTTGACCGTATCTTCATTTGGGAGGCCTTTTTTCAGAAAGGTCTGTTCAGGTCTCCTCCACTCCTTTTTGAGGTGCTGAAGATCAACCCAGCTTGACTTGTCCATGCTAGGCAAGTCCTCTAACACTAAGCTATATCCCAGCCCCTTTGCCCATTTCTAAAGCAGACTATTTGTTTTCTTGCCACTGAATTCCAGATACATTATCACCTTATCAGGTGGAGAGTTTGCAAATATTTCCTCCTGCTCTGATTATTCTCTTTGCTATGCAAAAGCGTTTTAGCTTTCCGTCGCACCACTCATCTATTTTTACTTTTGTTGAATGTGTTTCTGGAGTCTTTTTTTTAAGCACTGTTCATAACAATATCAGAGTTTTTCTCACTATATTTTTGAGCGTTGTTACTGCTTCGGGGCTTACATTTAAGTCTCCATTCATTTCGAGTTTTGTATATGGTGTGAGTGAGATAGAGGTCTAATTTCATTCTTTTGCAGTCCGGTTTCCCCACCACCATTTTACTGAAGAAATCGTCCCTTTCCCACTGTGTCTTCTTGGTATCTGTCAAAAGTCAACTCACTGTAAATGCGCCGATGTATCTCTGGCTATTTTCCGTTCCCACTGGTCTACATGTCTGTATTTATCTGCGTTAGGCTCTTCTCCTTCCCCTTCTTCTTCTTTATAATCATACCTCTAGTTATCTGATAAAATTAACGGTTAACCTATTTGTAGTTCATAACTTGATAATCACCATTTCTATGCAATACTTTCTTTCTACTTCTGTTACATGCAGTGTAGGAATGAGAGGCTCAGGTCCACTCTCACACACCGGGCCGGCAGGGCGGCTGCTCTCTAAGCCCGTCCTACGGCCCAGCTCTTCCATGGCTGTCACCGCGGCTCTTAGTGCACTGCGGCTCTACTACCACTTAAAAGAAATGTAACTCGGGTTTTCGTTTTGTTTTGTTTTCTTTAAAAGACCTGGTGAGTTATTTGCAAACCTATCAGGGAAGTTGCTTAAATGTTCAGTGTCCTGTATTATTCTTCCCTGAAACAAGCACTGTTAACGCGGCCACAGGAACTGTTGTAGTCCCCATGCTCGCTGTGTGTGGGCCGCGGTCTGTGAGGCAGCCCAGCACAGCTCTGCTCCGTTAGTTATATACAGTACGACATTCCAGCCAGCAGAGGGAGCTCCAACTCCCTAGAGTTGATTTTTTTTTTTTTTTTTTCTTTTCTTTTCTTTTCCTTCCAAATCTCCCAATTACCGTACCTGGCTGCTCTTAAAAATCGCTAGGATAGACCACAAAGCATTTCTCCATAAATCAAAAATCTTAGCACTATTTTCAGCTGAAACAGAATGTATATTTGGAAACCAATAACGTTGAGTGGCATTTTCAGGGCATATCCTGGTGGTTCAGCTTCTCCACTCCAAGACTGGTAAAAATGGGAAGGAAGGGCAAGGCATAGCAGCATCTTACAGAAGAAGCAGAAATTTAAAAGTGAATTCTCCAGGTACATAAAAGGGAAGGAGGGGGGAGGGCAGGGGAGGAGGGAGGACAGGGAAGAGGAAAGGAGAGGGGGGAGGGGAGGGGAGAAGAGAGGAGGACAGCAGAGGAGAGGAGAGGGGAGGAGAGGAGAGAGATGCCGACAGCAGTGTCCAGCTCCTTACATTTATTCTGAAGTGAGGGTTAGATTTTCCTCTTAGTGATATCTGCCAACAAATCCAATGTTGACAACTAGATGGGAAGCCAGGGGCTCCACCATATTCAATAGCCAACCATAGCACCTGTTTTCAGATTGTTTTTCAACACCAAAGGCACAGTCAATGTTCCTCTCTCCTAACTACAGAAGTCCCTTCACTGTCCTTGAGTGAGGAGAACCAGCTGGGTTGCAGACATGCCACCTAAACATATTTCCTTGGGAGAATACTGAAAACCAGGGTGCTGTCCTCTTGGTTGAGGGTAACAGATATCTGCTCCAGGTTGCCCTTTGCTTCTTTTTTGCAGAGACCTGTGGTGAAGCCTTCAAGGTAGGGTCATTTTTACTTTGTCCCAAATGCAAGGTTATCACTACAGGTAGGTCTCTCTACAACCCAATTTGACACAAGTAATAAAGATTGCAATCAACTTCTTTGTAAGGACGCCCTACGGGTTACAGGTGACACTGAGAAGTGCTGCACGAAATGTCACAGTTAAAACCTCATCTTGCAGATCATATCTTTTGATCTTCGTTAAATGCAAATATTTCTTGAGGGAGGTAATGATTTAACATCATGTCAAATACATATGATTTTTAAGTGCAAGAAGGATTCCAAGAGAGAAAGAACTAGAGGAAGACCTCAAATAAAAGTGGCTGAAAAGATAGAGACTATCGTATACTTTTTTTTTGAGACAGCATCTCACTATGTAGTCTAGGTGGCCTTGAACTTACTGTGTAGCCCAGGCTGGCCTCGAGCTTATGGTGATCCTCCTGCCTCAGCCTCCTGAGTGCTGGGATTACAGGCATGCACCTCCATGCCCTGCCTACCCTATACTTTTTACATTTGGTTAATCTTTCCATTTTCTCTGAAAATGATGAGCCTCTGCTACATGCCAGGTACCGCAAGACAGACCAGGCTTCTGCTCTTCTGGAGTTGGGGATGGGAGGAGGATGTGGAGAGCAGAAAATAAACAGATAAAGAAATAATCAGCACACTACTTTCAGAGGATAGTAAGAATGAAAGACAGATTGGGGAGGTGACAGAAGGATCTAAGGGGAATGGCTGAGGCATACAGAAGTGAATCGCTGTGTTCAGAACAGAGTGGGGAAGAGAGGGTGGTAGAAGCTAAGGCTGGGGTGGAAGGAGCATGGTGGAAGGAGGGTGGTGTGTGTGCGTGTGCATGAGTGCGTTGTGCGTGCAAGCGTGCAAGTGTGTGCGCTTGAGGCAGGAGTGGGGAGTGCAGACTGCGCAGGGCCTGGTGGGCCACCGTAGGGTTGCAGACCTTCACTCTGAGAAAGGTGGAAGTTACTGGAGGACTTAGCTCGAAGAATGATATGGCAAAACATATAAGCATACAATTCACCATCCGAACAAAAGCTCAGTGGTATTAATGACACTCACATGTTGGGCAGCTATCACCACTATTTCCAAGACTTTCATTTTCCCAAACAGAAACGCCACACCCATTAAATACTAACTCCCCATTTCTCCCACCTCCAGGCCTGGCAACTACCGCTCTGCTTTGTCTCTGTGAATGTGACTCCTCCCGGGGCCTCGTAAGTGGAACCATGCAATGCGTCCTTTTGCATCTGGCTTACTTCACTTAGCATAATGTCTCCAGCTTGCAACCATGCTGTGGATGGTGACATGTTTTTAAAGGGCCCCTTTAGCTGTGCACTAAGGACAGATCATCAGGGAGTTAGGGCAGGAGAGAAGTCAGGAAGGTCATGGTTCTGGTCCAGGTGACAGAGGCTGGGCTGCGGTCAGGAAGGCACTGGCACTGCTTGTCTGCTGGTACACATGTGAAGGTGTAAAGCCCAGACAGCCCGTGTCCTCAGGCTCCAGGTCCGCCTCAGGCCTTCCAGGGTCGGGGCTCAGAAGCCGCTTGAATTACCTTTATGAAGTTCACTTTGCAGTGGCAGGAATCGTTGTTCAGGTTGTTGATGACAATCTCGCCATAGTGCTCAATCCACCTCTGCCCACTCAGGATGTTGTGGATGCAAGAGGTCACCTTGTTCCACTCAAAATGATCTCCAAAGCTGAATCGGAGGGAGAAGTAAGAGTGACAAAGCCAACAACTGCAAACCAACACTGCTATTTTATGAACTAAACCACAATCACATCTCTTCCTTTACCGACCCTGCACTGTGCTTCAAGCTCCAGGAAGTCACCTGAGACACACACGGGACACGGTGGTCAGCCTCCTGCACTCCGGAAGCCAGGGAAGGCTTTGCTGGAGGTTCACGGTCTCTGGACCACACCCCTGCCTCCTTCAACAAAGGAGGCAACCAAGAGCCAGAGGTGACGTGATAGAGCTGCCCAGCTGGAAAGGGAAGTTGGTGGCCGGAGCTATGGGGGTTTTCTATAATTTGACAATTATCTTTTATGAAGAGAAATTACTCATCTATTACTTACAGAGTTAAGTAAGAATTGTGAGGGAACTGGTGAGACTGAGTACGTGGCAAGTGCTGTGTGCCACGCGCTGCTGTCTGCGTATCAACTGTGTGCTCCTCAGAACTGTCCGGGGAAGGAGGTGGCTTATAATCCCCAGGTCACAGACAAGGGGACTGGTCATGAGAAAGGGGGCCACCACGGCACTGGGGCAGAGCGAGCGCTGAATCACAGCAGCCTTATTCCGGAAACCCTGCTCGAAGGCATTTTGCTTCCTGAATAAGCATCAACAGTCCCTATCTGAGGAAGGCCATGTCTTAGAAGGAATTCTGACAGAGAGGCAGGGCAATAATGTTAAAGAAAACTACCGTTCCTAACCTTGATAGGAAGTAGGAGTGGATTTTTAAAAAGCATCAATGCAGAGAACATTGGTCTGCTGGCAGATTTCCACTTGGGAGAAAGAAAATCCAAGCTTGCTGAGATGAGGAACATTTGATATCACCAAGAAACAGCTTGAAAGGAAACCATACTCTCCAGGCTATGGGGGTGGTGGGCATCCTGACCCTAAAGTGTTTTTCTGCTACTAAATTCTGTAAAATTCCTAACCACAGCAGAACTTACGCCGGGAGAGTCACGTGGGTTGTGCCGATTGGAACAATTTCCATGGATTTGCCCCAAAATTTGTTTTTCCACCTCACATCTGAAATGAAATAGTCAGTGTTACATATCTAGTAGGACAGCTAGTCAGATCAAAGGATTCTTAGTCTACATAAATGATCAATCACTATATAATACTATTTTTCTCTAATCAGATTAATTATTGTATAGGAAAATATTTCATGCAATGTACATACCAACTAGGCACCTGAAACAGAATCAGAAAAACTAAAATTATAAGATAAAGTCCTTCCTGGGGAAGAATTAAGAGCAGGAAAAGCAGACAGAAGTAAAAACAAGGAGTACACAGCACAGAGAGACACAGCGGATAGTTGTGTGTGTTCTAAGGTGAATGGACAAAAAGGGTAAGGAATGACCAATGTGCTTGGGGAGGAGATCAGAAGAGGTTTCTCAGAAGGGGTCATGTAAGTGGGGCTTTGTAGAAAATAGCAGGAATTCACCAGGTAGAAAAAAGCAATTTAAGGCAGAAAAAATAGCTTACTTGGATAAAAATATAAGGATAGCGTATGTTCTATCTCACAGGTCTGAGATTATCTAGGGAAGAGTAAAAAGTCAGGAGGAGAACAAAATGAGCAACTCCACAGGCCTGGCTAAGAAGTCTGGTCTGTGTGCACTGGGGGAGCTAATGTGATTTGGGGCAGACCTCACAAAGACAATTGGAAGCTGTGTGAGGGAGAGATGAAAGGAACGCGGTGAGAGGCTACCGTGGTTGCCCAGGGGACAAATGGGTAATGGCCAGAGTGATACAGTGATTGCATAAATATCAAAGAAGTAGGAACAGAGTGGAAAATTAGACACAGATTGAAAAAGAAAAGGAGAATTTATAAATGAGGTCAGACTTTTCTACCTAGTACGAAAGGTGCACCCACAGAGAGGGCTGGGTAGAAGAAAGCCTGTGGAGAGCTCTGCTGGCTTTGGGACTGAGGACAGAAAGCTTGCAAGGGGTGGGGTGGGAGCAGGCAGCTGGAGGAGGCCAGAGCTGGGGTCCAGGATGGTGCTGGGGTCTGGGGAGGGGCCTGGGGGGAGCAGGTCCAGCCACACAGCATATGATTCGCTTTATATGAAATGCTCCAAATAGGCAAATTATACAGACAGAAAATAGATGGGTGCTGTTGCCTCAGGCTGGGGTTGTTGAGGGAAATTGGAAGGGGAAATATTTGTTAGAGGTTTCTCTTTGGAATGATGAAAATCTTCTAAAATTAATTGTGCTATGACTTTACAACTCTGTGAATAGTAAAATAAAAACCCATACACTTTAAATAAGTTAATTTTATGATAGGTATGTGAATTATGTGTCAATAAAATTGTTACTCAGTGGGGGAAAAAGGTAACTGTTTAAGCAAAAATAATAGCATATGCGGGGGCTGTAACATGCAAGCTCAAAGTTTAGAAGAGAAGGAATAGAAATACACTTAATTTTTATATTATATGTGAAGTGACATAACATTGCTTGATGATAGATTAGTATATTAATAGATGTGTGAATCATGAAGTAACAACTAAAACACAGAACAAAGAGGCATAGCTAAGAAATCAACAGAGGAGACAAAACATAATTGCAGGAAGCATTCAATTTATCAAAAAGAAGGCAGAAAAGGAAAAAATGGGGAAACAAAGAACACATGTGACAGACAAATATGAGGGCAAATTTAAACTCATCTGTATCAATAATCATAATAAATGTAAATGGACTAAACAACATAATTAAAATGCAGAGAAATGTCAGATTGGATAAAAATAAAGATTTCAGAGTCAGAGGCCTCTAGGTATAGGTACAGTTATTCAGAAAAGGCTGATGAGAAAGAATTCCCCAGGAAATGAATGGTTAGGAAAGGAGTTGAGGAAATGGGGAGCACACAGAAACTACTTTGAGACAACCTCCTCCCATTAGGAAAATACATAATTTAAAAAATAACAAAAGAGGTGCTTATAGGGTCAATGAGTTTAGCAGTTAGGATATTAGAAACCTTATGAGACTTTGTTTCCAGAGGATTTTTGTAAAAAGTAGAGAAATTTCAAATCAGGCTTCCATTTTAAATTTTAATAGCAAATTATAAGAAAGGAAATCACAGTACTTTCAAGTGGCAGTATCAATCACACCCGTACAGAGGAAATGGGTGGTTGAGGAAGGGATAGTGCTAGGGAAGTGATCCTATATATTCTTCTATACTTTTAAAATCAGGAATTATCAGGTGGGGAATCAGGTGGTTATCCTTTTAGTAGAGGAAGATGTTTTTAAAACTGATATATGCTTATGCTTTAAAAATCTAGGATGCTCATGTGTTCTGTGTATACTACACTCTGACTTTTTAAATAAATTATGGCTTTAATATAAGTAATTAACCTACTTAAGAAATATTTTCAGTCATTCAAAATCTAAACTAAACAAAATTTTAGGAACAAGAAACTCAAAACTGAAAAGAAAGCAGCAGTATAAAATAGGATTCCAGAAACAAAATTTAGATGTTTCAAAAGCAACAATACCCTTTTGTTGTTTAGGCTCTGAGAAATAAGAGGAAATACTTAGTATCTTTTCAAATAAGTGAGAAATTTGAAAAGGCTAAAGAATACAGAAAAAGGTACAGAACTGGTGTGATCTAGATAAAGATGGAGGATTTTTTTAAAAGGAGAAAATTAAATGACCTCCCTGAAGACTTTACAACAATTATCAATTAAAGCAGTATCAATTAATAGTTGACAAATATCAATTATGGTTCAGAGACGAGAGGTGAGAACATCAAGTGGAGCAGATGCTCTAATGGGATCCGAGTTCGGGGACCACTTTTGATGTCTGCCAGCATCGATAGTAATTCCTGAATAAAATAATAATGTTCCAGGAAAGGGAGGTCAAATATACTAGCACATTACCTTGCCAGAAAACAAAATTTCCAGACTCAGCGTGACATGCAGAGATAGGTGGATGGTGGCTGACCTAATGGAGACAAAGAACAAAAAGAAAAAATGAGCAAACTTTTGTATCTCATGAAATTCGCTCCTCTTTCCTTGCACTGAGATGTGACCCAGGTACGATGCTTAATTGAAGGAAAACTTGTGTAGTTCCCTTCAACAAGTCTGTCCTCTAGAGGGCGCACTTGATAAAGTCAGCTTTGTCTTGCTCAGGTGGTAAAGGTGAGAAAAAAAGCTGTGACCAGAAGTCCCTGGAGACTTCCCTGAGAGGGTGGCCCAAGGGTAAGTGATGAAGGCAGACACCTCTTTTGAAAGGCGTAAAAACCAAAACAGGAAAATCTGAGGAATGCCCATTCATAACCCACACAAAACGACACTGGCTACCGACTTCAAAATCTTTTAGGTGATTCTCAAGGTACCTTGCACACATTTTAACTAAACTGACCGTCTTAACACGCACCTTCTAAGCAAAACAAAAATGCCTTCCCTCCAGCTCAGCAGATTCAACTCTTGCAAACTGTGCATCATGCAGTCCAGCCTCTTCTCACATCATCCACAAGACCCATTTAAGACACTTTTTTAAAAATAAAGTCCTTTGGCTGGGGTGTCGCTGAGTGGCAGAGCACTTGCACAGCCTGTGTGAAGCACCGGGTTCAATCCCCAGCACTACCAAAACTAAGAAATAAACAGCTAAACATACAATTTCTGAGGAAATGTTTGCTAACTGTTAAGAAAAAATGTGTTCATCTTTTGTCAAGGGAAGAAAGAAATATCTTGAGTAGACAAGTAATTACAGCACATCCCAGAAAAGACAATCTCCTGTAACGGAGACCACCTTTTGGCAAGTGGTCCGCTACCTTTTTGTTCACTAATTAGAGAAAATGCCTTCTCCTTTCTATTTCTTCATTATCTAAGCAACACTCAAGGAACATGCTCTGCTGACTGTACTAGCTCATTACCAGTGTGACCAGGCTGGCAGTGGTACTTCCAGAAGTTTCGGTGCTTTAGCTTGTTTTTAGCACAGGTATCACACATTTAGGCTATCTAGCCCAAAGCCTTTGTATTATAAATGTGGATTCTGAAATCAGAAGGACTAAGTGACATTTTCCAAACCACAGTGTCAGAGAAGTAGTAGAGGGAAAATGCAGAATCCTGGTTCACCTGAATGGTTTTCAAATTTTAAAAAAAAGTCTTAAGTAGTTTAAGTTTCCAAACACTTTTATGATTTATTTTTTGATGTAGTATTTGGGATTGGGCCCAGGGCTTCACATGTACTAGGCAGCTGCTCTTCCACTGAGCTATATCCACTGCCCTCTTTGTTTTGAGACAGTGTTTTGTTAAAAAGCCCAGGCTGGCCTTGAACGTGTGATACTCCTGCCTCAGCTTCCCTGTTGCTGGGGCCACAGGTATGGACCACTGTGTCAGGCTCAAACACATCTTATCAACAACTTAGAATATGGAGTCCTGCCTGAGACAGGTAGGTACAAGCTTGTATGTGAAGAGGAGGAGGATGGGGATGATAAACCCAGAGCTACTCTCCTTGCTCTGGATCCTCAACAGCCCTGAGGAACACGCTTTGGAAACCACTGCCACATGCTCCTCCTGTAGGTCGAGCCCTGTAGGGATGGAATGACCCAAGAGTCACGCATCCCACAGACAGTTAATGGATGGGATTACGGTAGAACCAACTTTGATAAAGGAAAAGTAGAGGCAAAGGCTAAGATAGTAAGCATATGTTTCAGATTATTCAATAAACTTAAATTCCAGCCACCATATGAAGTAGGAGATGTAAATGTGCTGTTGTTTGCACCGTCTGAGTCCTTTGCTAGTACAAAGGTGAGCCCTTTGCCATCCTATGAGATTTTTAAGGGAAATATTCACTGCAAGCACTGAGAACCTAACTATCATGTAATTCTGCCTTCCTCTGTTGTCATTTTAGCTGTACTTTTTATAATCTTTAAATTATAAAATTTAATTTTATAATTAATTGCTGTCATCACATTTTTAATCTGACCACTTAAGAGACACTTTAGATCATAAAATTCTGCACTCCCTTATTCTTTCTACCTTAAGATAGCTCTCAAAATAATCTAGTTAACTTTTAAAGCAAGGGATCAGATGAAGTTAAAATAAGACAATATCCACCTCTCCCACCCCACTTGACATAATCCACTGCTGAATGGGAGAGGGGCACGAAACGTGCCCTTCCTGCATAATACAGACATTCTACAGTGGGTTATCAAAAACGGCATTAGATTCATCTCACAGAAACACTCTAGTAATGGGGGAAAGAAGTATTATTGCCTTGATCAAGAATTTGGCATCTGTATTGGTATAGTCAAATATAAGCATCAAAACAAAATACAGGATATTAAAACTATGCATCTGCCCAGAAACAAATAAATAAAACAGGAATAAAGACTGTCTATGTGAAATAAAAGAAGTCTTCCTATACTCTAATTACATACATGTCCTAGAAAATGCAACTTTGATTAAAAAAAGAAAACACGCTGTACCAGATTAATAAACCAACGGTTAGCAGACTGTCTTTACATGGGTCCAAAAGATGTTTTCTGAATGAACAGATCTCAGTATTCAAGTACCAGTGACTTTGCCTATGTCCTTATAGAGTAAAGAGGCCTTCGAGAATGGTTTATTTGTACCACTTTGCTTCTCAGAAGTTTACAAAGCTTTCCAGTGATGCCTGCTTTCTCTTTGTCTCCTCACTGTGGATATTTATTCATTAGACGCTGCCAGGTTGTCTGCCCCGGGCTGCTCTAGTGTCACAGAGTGCAGGTGAGCGTTTGCTGTCCCACAGACCTGGGCCCTAACTGTAATGCCATCTTTATCTAGATCACACCAGTTCTGTACCTTTTTCTCTATTCTTTAGCCTTTTCAAAGGTCTCACTTATTTGAAAAGACACTAAGTATTTCCTCTTATTTCTCAGAGCCGAAACAACAAAAGGGTATTTGAAGCATCTAAATTTTGAAAACATCTAAATTTTATTTCTGGAATCCTATTTTATACTGCTGCTTTCTTTTCAGTTTTGAGTTTGTTGTTCCTAAAATTTTGTTTAGTTTAGATTTTGAATGACTGAAAATATTTCTTAAGTAGGTTAATTAATTATATTAAAGTCATAATTTATTCAAAAAATGTATGATGGTAAGCAAAATTCTTCATTCCTTCAGCCTCAGTTCCCTCAGCTATAACATAGGGCTAATACTAACTGGACTAACAGAAATGAAGAACTTATGTCAAATATGTCCAGGAAGGTAACACTGGTATTGATAAAGCAGTGACTAAACTTTAATTTTTTAAATGAGTGCATTTTCACTTAGTTCTTATGGTGGCCTTGTGCCTTTATTAACCTTATGTTACAAATTAGGAAAAAAAGGTTCTGTCCAGCAAAGAACTCGCCCAATGCTACATTGTCAGTGAATGACTGAGGCAGTATTTGGTCCTTAATCCAAGCTCTTTTCTCTACGTTCCAGCAGACTTTCTATGGCTGCTCTCAGAGCTGGGCTCTTGTCCCCAAAGCCAAGGTACATCAAAAGGTCCCTTTTCATGAACACTTAAAGAATCTTTTGAATCTGACCTTCCCAACCTTCCAAGTTTCACTTTTTCCTTTGTAAAATTAGGTCTGACAATCTCTCTTGGCTACAAAATACTATGTTCCTAATACCTGCTCTCAATGTCTTCTTCAAATCTTAGCATCAAAGATGACATTAGATGCCAGTCAATTTGAAAATATAATTTCAAGGCTTTGATTACCTTGACTCCCCACAGAAAGGGATAATTCATCATTAATACTTAATCTTAGTTAATGACAGTCTCTGTATACGAATAAAAAATAATGAACAAAACCTAATGTGTCTTTGTTAGTGTAGGATTTGATTAGGAGTCTATTCTTATTACATATTAACCCAGGCAAACAAGGGTGGTAGGTGCATGTAAGTCTGGTCTAATCCAGCCCCAGAAGAGATACTGTCTGCTGCACTACTGGATAAATGCAATTTAGACTGGTTTTCAGCATTCTTTTCCATCACTTCCTCCGCAAAGAATTGATAAAGATTTGACTATACTTGATTATATTTGACTCACAAGGGTTCTTAAATATTCAGTTAGTGTATCATTTTCATTATGCAAGTATTTATATGGTAAAACACATATCATTCTTCCTATAAGCCCTAATACAGCTCCTTTGGTAGTTAAGAATTCCTGTCATTTATAAGTTTTTTGTATATAGGAGGATTTTCTTTGCTCTGCCCCAATCATTTTTTAATTTATACTTGAATGTATTTTACATAAGAGGTAGGTGGCAAAGGAGAAGCAGATGTGGAAAAGGTGTATTTCTCAACATTGGTGTTTTTTGTAAATTTTTATTTTTCAGAGGTAGAAAGATATCCCTTAATACATCACATTTTCCCTGCAACCTCCCAGAGATGCAGCGATGTGACCTAGTTCCTGACCCCCTACAACAGTGCAGGGCAGCTTGTGGAAAGGACAACCTGTGCCAGGTGGAAAATCACCGAGGAGGCCACCACGGGGCCGCTCTGCAGTCGCACACTTAATTACTGATACGGGTAGGCACTGTCCTGGTCACTGTGGACACAATGAAAAGCACAAGTGACAAAAACTCCCCTTTGTAGAATTTATATTTTAGGGCAGACGTGGTGACAGTCATGGCACAGTCAGAGGTCACCATGGGGATGGGGATAGGCAGTCCTGGGCCCTTGGCCGGCTACTCATTAAAAGCACAATTTATGTGTTTTCTTTTGGGTCAGCCGAGGACCTAAAAGCCATTTTTGCTAAAAACTATGACTCTTCACCTGGGCCTACAAATGCCCAATAGCACCTAAAAGCAAAACAAAGCTTGACGTTCATTTTGTAGCCTTTGTTATTACAAAACTTTGGGTCAAATCCTTTCTCAACTCTGTACACAGGTATGTTTATCATTCAGGGAGCGTCTGTTTAAAGTTTGATGTGGCAAGGTGATCAGCTGTCAATCCGTATGATCTTGGCCA